GAGCCTCGTCGTGTTAGATACCACCAGCGACGGGCCCACTGTTCAACAAGGTTTGCGACAGCCCAAACATGTTCCAAGACAACGATGTCTTGGCAAGCCATTTGCCGCAGGAGGGACACCCGCCCGGTAAGAGGAGTGCGCGCCGGGCCAGTTGTTTCGCCCCCGCTTCCTGCCGCAGGGTATCTGGATGCAGGTGCACGGTTTTCACGAATCTCCGATCTACCAGGAGGTCGCCGACCTGCTGCTACAGGGCGCCAGAGGCGCTGATGACGACGGCGAGGCCGAGGCGCAGGGGAGGAGCCTGCTCATGTCCAAGCCCAACGAGCAAGAACTCACGTGGCAGAGTTTGGGGCCGCACGTGGCGCGCCGCTCGGGGTTCACCCTGATGCACGCGTCGCACCTCGCCTCCACGCTGACGGAGAGTCAAACGCTGCGCGAGGGCATCACCATCGAGTGGGCCACGGACGAGGACGCTGGCCGCACGCGCATGTCTGACGAGCAGTGGTGGCTGTGCCTCTTCGTTAGGTTCTCACGCGGCACGCGCAAGCGGAACATGCTGATCCTGCGGCCGCCGTCGCGCGAGGCTGTGGAGCGCGGGCCGCCGGCGTGCGGAAGGCGCTCGGGGATTTCGACCAGAGAGAGGAGATCTCCAGGGCTGAGGCGGAGCAGCCCGCGGCCGGGCCAGGCATCGCGCCGCCTCCTGCCTGGGCGCGGCGGCGCCCCGCTCGAGGCCCGCGGGGTTGTCCCACTGGCTTGCTCCCGCGCCGCAGCGAGGCGCGGGTCCGCCCCAACGGCCTGGCCCGCAGGGTTACCCCAACGGCCTCGCGATCCAGCCATCGAGGAACGCGCCCCTGCCGGCCGTGGTGGCGCGGCGACGGCGCCGAGGAAAACCAAGTTGCGCGCCCTTGCTACTGGGGCGGGGAAGGATGTGGACGGGGGAGAACAGGCGCGAGGACGAGGGTGAGACTGAACACGAGGCGGGAAGAGGTTGTCCGCGAAGGCGGGAAAGAGGAGGGCGATGAGGAGACAGGAAGAGAGCCTGTGCATTCTCGAAGACGACGGTGAGGCTTATTTCCAGGCTAGTGTGGGTGATGTCCATGCGGGGATTTATGGTCGGAGTAATGTTGGCGCGGCGCTTCTGCCCTCAACGCGGTTCGATCCGATTCAGTTCCGATTTTCTGACGTTCGGTGCGGCCCGACCCTTCAGACGCGGCGTCGCGAAAAGAATACAACATCGTGGGAAAATACTGGAGCCCTTGACGCTATCTTTCGTCGGCGCTTCGACATGTGAGGGCCAGGAGGCCCGAGATTCGGCGAAATCGCTTCGTGTGAAAAGCCCGGCGCCGTGAATCCAGGGATGCTCGCATAGCCGCATAGCGCAGTTGCGTATCCATGCGCAGCCAGTTACTTCAAATCGAACGGATTCCCATTGCGAGTCCGACCCATTGCGAGCCCGACCCATAGATAGTTCAGTTACCCATGCGAGTCCGACCCATTGCCGGAACGGCCCGGTACGGATGCAGGTTTCGATCCGATCCGGTTGTTCGATCCGGCGTGGGTTGTGATTGTTTCTCTGTTGCGTTTGTGCCCAACGCCATACTTCCAAACTTTCTTGCAAAGCAAAATCAAGGAGCACCAGGTTAAAAAATGGCACTGGCTAAGGGGTAGCAGAGTTCGAACGAGCGGCAACGGGGGGAAATCGTTTGCAAACCGTACGTTGGCCCGCCAAGGGCTCTGGCAAGCCGACATGAAGAATGGCTGCAAACTTCCCGTCGTGTTTTTGTCACGACTCGGGGAGGTCTCGGGATGTGTATGTACGCCACGTTGGAGCCACGGGTGGCAGCGCAAGGACCCCCCCTGGGGGCCCTTTCGGCGCCATTTTCTTGCACCCCGCGTTCGCCGCCGATTCACGCCCCCCCGTCAAACGTTTCCCTAGTGGCATGGAACACATTCCGGATACCAGCGGTCTTGGGCCAAACGTTCTCGCGTCGTGGTATGTATATAACAAAAACTGACGGACGGGTTTTGTGAATGTTTGCCTCACGGGGGGGGGGCCTCGCCAAGCCCAGGGACATGGTCGAGTCCTCTTGGGGTCGACGTCGTGACAACAAACCATGACGTCAGGATTTGGGAAGCCATCGGGAAGCCCGCTGCCATTCAGGAGGAGGAGGAGGAGGAGGGGGAGGAGGACAACAAAGAGGAAGAAGGGGACGAGGAAGAAGACCGTCTCGATATCCTCGGCCGCAGCCACAATTAGGTCAACACACCCTCCGGCCGAGGCCCACGGCGGCAGGAGGAGGAGGAGGAGGAGGAGGAGGAGGAGGAGGAGGAGGAGGAGGAGGAGGAGATGATGGAGGAGGTTGGAGGAGGACGAGCAAGAGAAGTATGAGGGGGAGTTCCTCCTCCCCCTCCTTCCCCTCCTAGCTCCTCCTCCACCATCTCTCTTCGTCTCTCCTCCCTCTTCAGTCATCCTCCTCTCCCTTCCTGCTCTCTGCTCCCGCTGACTGATCACTGAGGAGGGAGGAGGGATGAAGACGGATGGGGGAGGAGGAACTAGGAGAGGAAGGGGGGGAAGAGGAGTTCTTCCTCATATTTAATTTCCTCGTCGGCCTCCAACATCCTCCCTCTCATCCTCCTCCTCCTCCGCCTCCTCCTCCTCCGCCTCCTCCCTCCTCCTCATCCTCTTCCTCCTCCTCATCATCATCATCATGCTTATTCGCGTCGTCATCCTCCTCCTGTGAGTAGTATTGTTAATTTGATTCGATCCGTACGAGTACGTTTACTAGTAGAAGTAGTATTACTGATATTCGTTGTGTTATTACGATTAGTGTTACTAACACGAGTATTACTATGATCTGTCGTACGATTCGCGTTTCCCTATTATTAGCGCCATTGTTTTTACGATGTGTAGGGTCATTAATACTGTTAGTACCATCCCTCCTCCCATCTCCTCCTTCCTCTTGCCTCCCCCCATCTTCCTCCTCGCCCTCCGTTATCGTTTCCTTCCTCGCTTCCCGCCTCGCTTCCCTCCTCGCGTCCCTCCCGACATCCATATTCCTTTTCGCTTCCCTCCGACTTGCTCATCCTACCCCTCATCCTCCTCTTCCCCCCTTCGTGTTTCCTCCGTTCCTCCGTCCCCATCCGCCGTCTCCAATGTCTCATCCTGCCTCAGCTTCGTCCTTCCACCCCTCCTCTCTTGTATCCGCCCTCTGCAAGGCCCTCCGCGCCTTCCTCATCCCCCATCGTCGTGATAGCATTCGTCCCCTTACTCCTCCTCCTCCGGAGTGGAGGAGAAGGAAGCGGAGGCTCCTCCCCGGCCCGCACGCCCCTCGCCCCTGCGGCGTCGCGCCACCCGTGGGCCGGGCGGAGCCGCGCACCGTCTCGCGCGGGCGCAGCCGCTGCGGAAGCTCGCCCCCCGACCGGACGACGCACGGGGGGCCGGGAGTGCGGGATCCTCCCGCTCCAGGCGGGACCTCAGACGGCCGCCAGGGCCCCGACACAGATTCTTCAGCCAGCCCCGCGAGCACGAGGGCAGGACCTCCAGCTCGGGCCGGCCCGGCAGCGCCGAGAACCCAGCTCTCGCCCACTGCCGGCGCGCGTGGGCCTCGCCCCACGTCGCGGTCGCGAGGCCGGGCCGCGCAGCATGTCAGAGAGCGAGCGCGCAGCGATGTGGGGGGAGCAGCCCGGCAGGGCGCCTGATCTCGCCAGTGCGTGCTGCCCCGGTCCCCTCAGGCGGGCGTCGCGGCACGGCTCAGCCCGCGCCACGGCACGCGCCACGGCACCTGACGCGGCAGTCGGGCCGCGCCGAGGTGGTTCCCGCGGAACGAGCGCGCGGCCGCGGCCGCGGGCGCGGGCCCGGCGCTCCGCAGGCGCAGGCGCGCGGCGCTCCACGCCGGCGCGAGCGGCGCCCCCCCGCGAAGATCCATGCTGCCGAGCCTGGCGCGGCGGCGAAGGGCGCCCGAAAAGCGATCAAACCCAGCCGATCAAGCCCAGCAGTGCTCGAAAAGCGAGCAACAATTGCATGAGCATCGTGTCTCTGAGCTCCGCGCGCATTGCTCGGATCGGCGCGCGCCCCCAGTGATCTTCGAAGAGCAAGATGCACGCCGTCTTTTCTATAAGTGTGCGACAAGGCTCCCATAGGTCTAGGCCTCCTAGATGGTGTCGGAGTAGATGGGGTCGGAGGATCGCACCGCATCGCCGACGCATCGCCGATGCGGCTCGATGCGGAGCCCGATTTCTTTCACGCGGACGTCGCCGATGCATCGCCGACGTCGCTGATGCATCGCCGATGCATCGCCGATGCATCGCCGATGCATCGCCGATGCATCGCCGATGTATCGCCGATGTATCGCCGATGCGGCGCGATCCTCCTACCCCATCTATTCCGACCCCTATCTAGGAGGCTTCTAATAGGGCCCTCCTGCTACTTGCACGACGGTCGACGGTCGGTCCATGAGGAAGTGCAAGAGGAGGAGGAGGAGGAGGAGGAGGAGGAGGAGGAGGAAGAGGAGGAGGAGGAGGAGGGCAAAAGCTGGGAGGAAGGGCGGTGCACGCCAGGACAATGAACGAGGAGAACCAGGAAACGAAAGCGGGTCGACCCAACTGGTCAACACATGTTTTAATATATGGTCGTCCTTCCTACCTGCCAGATGGCCAGCTTGGCGCGTGTAATGAAATTACAACTCTCCCTACCCAGGCAATGCGTGCACAATGCGCGCATCGCTCCCATCTTGCGCTGTCCCCTCCCAGACGCTATCGCCGCACAGTGTCGAGCAATTGTCTTCCCAATACGCCCCCTCCTTCTGTACTGGTCGGACGAAGGTTGCTGGCCAGGGCGCGCTTCCCATGCGTGCCCGTCGAGGTATCCTGCAACGCGCATTTTCCCAGGTGGCTCTTTCGCCGATTTGCCCAGTGCGAAGATGCAATGGGGTGGCGCAGTGAGCTAGCAGCGCTTTCCGAGGCCATTGCCATGTTGTTTGGTTGGTTGATGCCGCCGGCAGGAGGACGGCCCGAAGTGCCCTCTGTGCAGATCAGACGCCGTCAGCACCCTGCACATCTTCAACTGATGGGCGCGGCCGCCGGCAGTCGACCCTCCAGCCCTCCCGCGCAGCACCTCCAGCGCGGGTCGATGCACGAGCGCCTCGGTGCGATGTTGGTGCCCCAATGGCGGCCACTGCTCCACCCACAAAGTCGTGGCAAGCGACAGGGCGCCGTGACCTCCGACGCCCCCCACGAGACTTCTTGGCCTCGGGAGGCCGACTCGGGGCCCTCTCTGGGCAGTCGCGGGTCCCTCCTTGGGCGCCTCGGGGTCGTCTTGGAGGTCGAAGGAACTGTTTCGGGGCCGTCTTGGGGCCCTCCTGGAGCGTGTTGCGGACCTCTTGAGGGCCTCGTGGGCCGTCATGGAGCGTCAGAAGCCCGAAAAGGCAAGAACGCTGGAACCATTGAAACAGAACATAAGAAAAGCAAGCATTCTGGCCTTCTGGAGGTCCTCTTGGAGCCCTCTTGGTGCGATCTGAAGCCGGAAAGCTTAGGAAGCAACGGCCATGTTCCATTTCTTGAACATTTCTTGGCACCTCGGGCGCGCTCGGGCAATTGCCCGAGAGCGAATGCTTTGCTGGTCCACTCTCTGCACCCATCAAAAGGAGGAGACAGAACTTGAGGGCAAAAAGGGGTTCTGCGTTTTCTCGCCACCCCAGGTCTCCCTCTGGCCCCTCCCAAGCCCGGGGAACGCCACTACGAAAGTTGGGCCAAATTTAAATGATCCCCTTTCGGTGGCGGAGACCCGGTCCAGTGTTGTCAACGGGGGACATTTCGAAAGGGGCTGGTTCGGCGACGAGGCCTCAGTACAGTGTTGCCAGGGTGCGTCTCGTTACTTCGTGTAGCGATGGCATTTTCATGCAGCTGGAATGTCGGACCAGGAAGTTCCGACTTCGGGAGGACATTTCTTCTTCGAAGAAGTTTTGGGCGAAATCGCTATTTCGATTTCGGGCCAACGGGTTTCGACATCAGGTCGGAACCGTTGTTTCTGAGAAAGTCCCGAGCGAAAGCCACACTTTCGACTTTCTGGATTTTCGCATGTTCAATTTTATATTCCAAGCGGTCTGCCGAGTCGAAATAGCGATCCCGCTTGCGGCTGCATTGAAAGACCATGCCGACCAAACTCGAAAGTCCCGGGCTCGAAATCGAAACGGCGATTCCGCCGAATATTCCCGCCAAAACAGAAGTCGAAACCCATTCGGTTCGAAGTCGAACTGGTGATTCCGCTCAGGAATTCATCCAAATCTCAATTCGAGCCCTGCCGATTTCGAAGTCGAAATAGGGGCGTCTTGTCGCTCGCAGGCGTTGGCGCTCAATGTCGTGATGGCCCCTGCCCACCATTGAAGCCTTCGTTCGACGTTATCTTTGTGGAGCCACGAAATGGGTCAAACCTCTCGCAGCGGCGGTGTATTCCGGATATCTCTCTCTATATATATATACAAAGATAAATATATATATATACACAAATATATACATACACATCTTTATATATATAAAGATATGTAATTATGTATCCCAGGGTGGACCTTGGGGTCCACGACTCGATTCCTTGAGGGTTTCCAGCTTCTCCGTAAGCCACTATTCCCCCTCTCCTGAGCTTCCCTCGTCCTTCCGTATACTTCTTCGCCCTCCTCGCGTTTTTTTGGTTGTTCTTCTGGCTGTGGGGCTGCGAAGATATTAATTTCTGTTTGATTGAGTGTTTCTGATTCAGTTTGCGAGGCCAGGGTTAAGGGCACGCTGTCTGGATTCCCGCGAGCACCGACGACTCGCGGCCGAGTGGGATCGCTTTCACGGGGGCGTTCGATGTTTGAACCATTTTGGTGTACCTGTCGAGTGGAATGCGGGATAATTCGATATAAGACGTCCGTGGATACCGTTGAAGCCCTCGGCGCCCCTCAGCGCGCACATTAGCTTTAAGACACGTCTGCCAGATCGTCAATGTGATGGGCATCTCCGCCATCCCTCCTGGAGACGTGGAAAGCACTGTACAGAATCCTGCACCAGCTTGTTTGTAGACAGCTGGGGGCAGCACGGCACGGAATGAGGCGGCGCTGGCGCGCTTGTAGGCAGCCGCCGTGACGCCTCCCGGCGGCGCGCAGAAGGAGGCAGGGCGAGGAAGGCGGCCGTTCAAGAAGGCAGGAGGGCTCCTGGAGATTTGATTGTTTACCCCCTGGGGATATCGCGCGCTAGCGAGGAGCGGCCAGGAGGGGTAGGGGGGGCGGGGCTGGTAACGGGCGTTACCGAGAACAAGACTGAGATGGGCCCATGACCTCGGAGACGCTGTCTCAGAACCCTCCAATCCCTTCTAGGAACCCCGTGCCTTCGTAAAATGTGTTCCACCTTGCCCCACCACCCTGGCGTTCCGCCAGGCTTCGCTGGGCGGCCAGACGCTTGGGGACGAGGGCAATGAGGAAGATCATGTCGGGGGCCAGCAGCGACAAGCGGGAGGAAGACGCGGGGAGGCGTCGATTCGTGTGACGAGTCTGTGGCCTCCCTGCTACTCAATGTTGGGGTCCAACCAGAATTGTGTGAGAAACCAAGCGAGAGAGAGAGAGAGAGAGAGAGAGAAGTCCAAAATCTGGGGGACTTCGACGGCACAGCTGCCAGACGTTGCAATCGTGATCCCCGCTGCCTCTGCTCGCGGCCGTTGGGGCGCCGACGGGGACAGGCCGCCACTTGGGGTGGGCTCGAGGTCCGAAGTTGGAGGTGTTCGGGCGTGTTCGTCGGATCCCGGCGGCTTTCCAGCCTCGGGGTGCTCTCCAGCAGCTGCGCCTCGCCGAGGGCGTTCCTGGGGGTGCCCGGGTCGTCCGGAACGGTCCCGAGTCATGACCCGAGAGCCGCCGGGAACGGTGATATGCTCCGGGGGGGTCGCATCGACCCCCAATCACCTATGGATCGCCGATGGGGGCCCGATGGCCCCCACCGCCGCCACCGCGCGCAGCCATCGCCGAGCTGCCGCTGTGGCGTCGGGCCTTCCGCGCCCCCCAGCGGGTTGCCTGCGAGGAATCTCCACCGGGCGCGGCAAGGCCTTCTTGCGCAAGAGGCGGCGGATCGGACGGCCGTGAGGGACGTCGTCCCGAGAAGTCCGACTCCGAGTCAAACCTCGGGGTCGATTTTGGAGGTCGCCGCGGCGGTCGCAGCCACACAAACATGGGACAGGCGGCTGTCAAGGACCGGCATGCCCTTGTCCACCCTTCCCTTGCGCTCTGTGTATATGTTGCACCGCGTCTGCTCGGCAACCAGTGATGCAGGCGGCGATGCGAATGACCACGACAGGCTAGCACACCATGGTCAGAATGACCAGCCGTGCAGGTGAAGATTGTGGCGATCCGGACACACAGAGGGACAGGAGATGAATAACAAACAAAACTGAGAGCGAGACAGAGATATAGAGAGGGAGAGAAACAGAGAGAGAGAGAGAGAGTGACACATGGTCGCAACATGTATTATCTCACGGCCCCTGCGAGCGATGCCGATTTTGGCCAGCTGATCAGCAGAGAGCTACATATAAAAGCGGATGCGTTAACGGCGCAGCAAGCATCCAGTATGACACGAAAGAGTTGTACACGAATTGCCGTGTTTAGTGGTCTTCTTCGACGGCAGTGTTGGTTACAGGAAAAGTGAGGAGGGTTCGGTGTTGTGTGGGTGTGACTGTGTCCACGCTGATGACGTTGCAGAGAGAACGTGTCTTGATTCGTTGATCTTCGCGATGGGGGGGCACGCCTCCGTCACATCTTGTGAATCGGAAGCTTGCCGTTGGCGCGTGGCGTACATGCCGGCTTTGCCCGAGGGTTCTGCAGCCGCCCAGGGTGTGCCCAGACACGGTGCCATGAACCGTCAGAAGCCCCAAAGTGTTATGCTTGGCCAGCTTATTGCGATGAGCGGCCATAGTGGCGAGTGGGGGGCAGTCCTGGCCTGGTTGAGAGCCGTGCCCGCAAATCGGACCCCGATTGCCCATGCAGTCGAAAGAGCATGAAAGAGAGGGACAGGGCGAGGGAGAGGGAGAGAGGGAAGCGGAGAAGGAGAGGGAGGGGAGAGACCGAGCAGAGCGGAGAAGGAGAGCGGCATACATGAAGAGATGCCCAGATTCAGAGCAGCGAGGGACGAGAGGGGGCAGGACGGCAAAGGGATAGGGGACCCAGCCGGGTGCAGAGGAGGGAGGCAGAGATGCCGACGGGACGGAGGTGCAGAAGTGCAGGTAAGATGGGGTTGGGTGGTCGAGGGACGGGAGGAGCTACAAAGAAAAGTGATCAACAAAACGTGGTGCCAATTTTTATATCCATAGATGTATGACATAAACATATACAGAAATATCGATTGTGTGTTCGAGATGCAGATACGGAGAAAAATAACAAACAACTGTAGCGTAAGCTGGAATGAGAAATTGAAACATGAGAGAATATCTACAAGAGAGGGTGGCAGTGGGGGGAAGAGAGAACGAGAGAGAGAGAGGGAGAGAGAGGCAAAGAAATAAGCAGACAGATACGGGGATGTTGGGAAAGCACAGTCCAAGCCAGGTGCAGCCAGTGCAAGGATGCTAGGATGTTCTCGGCTTTGCAGCAGTGGCGAAATCGCACCGAAGCGTGCCGTGGTAGCGATGATATTTAGTCCGCGTGCAGGCGTAGTAAGAGTTGTTGCGAGGCCCCCCAATCGTTTGCAAGTCAAGCTTTGTAGTGAGTGTTGGGCGTTGCAGCATTATTCAAAATTGTGTGTGGGCCAAGGGCCTGTTTTACACCGGCCAGTCTTACCCAAAGCCTCTACTCCAGCAAAGTGTCGTGAACGGCGTCTTGGGGTAAAGGAAAGGCAAAGCAATATCATGCGCAACCTCCATGTTGAACGGGCACTCTTACGAAAGAACCATTGAGTCGCCATGCGTTCGGGAGTTCTGGTCTGCTGGCGCGCGCTGGCATCCCAATGTTTTGCTTGCCCCCCAGACAAGGATCGCATTACAAGTGATAGTATCCGTGAGCAGGACAGTGCTTTAAGTAGTTTAGGTTATTTTATGTGTTGCCGTGTCCGTATCATTGGG